AGAAAAACAAGGTAATAGGCAGACTGTGTTCATGGACTGAAGACACCTTAATTCGGAGGCTATTCTTTTTTCTGAACTTTTTATTACCTCCGTCCCCCTATGGGACAGTCTGCCTATGCACTTACAACACTAAAATACGGGGTTCGATTCCTCGTGGTGTTTACAGCAGATAGCCCAATGTGGCTCTGCTCTAAAAAATAAACAAACATATCTCCCCTCCCGTGACTCAGCGGTAAGTCTGAACGCTAAAAAAAAGGTTTCGATGCCTGTGGTAAGCACAGCACAGATAACTCATTGTATAGCTATGTGCTCAGCTATAAACAAACAAAGAAACAAAACTTTTTTAGTTGTATACGTTTTCTATTCTAATTTATAAACAAAGAAAATCATATTCTACTAAACCAGCTGTTCTTGGAATCTTCATAATTTATAAAACTACTTTAAATAAACTCTTAGAATAATGAAAATTTTTATTTTTCATCTATTATGGGGTGGATGAATCCTTTTGGGCTGTTTTTATGTAACTGATTATAAGTTTGGATGAAAATATATATTGGATACATATTGGAATAAATTACAGGAACACATATTCATTTGTTGATATATATATATATATATAAGAAATATAAATGACGATCTAAAATACATTATTTAAGTTATTTGTTTTTAGAAACATTATTAATTGGCAAATTAAAGAAGAACCTACATGATATTGTACGGTGGTCCTCATAACCTACAAGATATTGTACGGAGGTCCTCATTACCCAGTTTGGTTTGGTTTGATTTGTTTTGAATTTCGCACAAAGCTATACGAGGGCTATCTCTGCTAGCTGTTCCTAATTTAGTTTGCTTGTTTGTTATGAATTTCGCGCAAAGCTACACGAGGGCTATCTGCGCTATCCACCCTTAATTTAGCAGTGAAAGACTAGAGGAAGGGCAGCTAGTCATCACCACCCACGCCAACTCCTGGGCTACTCTTTTACCAACGAAGAGTGGGATTGACCATCAAATTACAACGCCTCCACATGCTGAAAGGGCGAGCATGTTTCGTGGGAAGGGGATTCGCACCTCATTACTCAAAATAATTACATATAAAAATCAGAAAACGAATGCACACCCAAAAGTTGACTAGAACGTTTACACAACTAATAATAAATGCAAGGAGGACTGTCTCGCTAAAATAACAGGTTTATATGGCAGATGTACGATGAGTAACGTAACGTATGAAATAATATGTACTATGTGCAATGAAATGTGCACACTTGAAATATCTAGTGTTTTACATAACAGGTTCGTGGAACACAGGTTTTTAATTAATATTACTGATATCAAAATACAAGCCACGAATTATCAGAGACTGTGTATGGATATTACGATTTAATCTCTTTGTAGATAAACCAATTTCTGATCTGTCATTGTTATATCATTAAAGACGTCTGTTATATAACTTATATTTGTAGACACCTGTAAATTTCTCTTTCAGTGATAAATTAAAAAATGTTTATGAGCATTATAAATATGTTTCTAGCGTTCCGTTTTATGTATTATTACTATAATAATTCTGTCTCTCGATCTACACCCCTATTAATGTGAGTTACCTTTATTATACGTAACAATTCGTTATTTCGTCCTCTATTGTTGACTGGAACTAGTTTGATGCTCGGATTCTCAAGAACAGTCATAGCAGTGGGTTGCCCAAAGTGATGTTGCATGAATGAAATGTTGAGCGAATAAATACAATTTTCTGGACTTTGTGGCGGTCGTTCATTTAATCATATGTGATATTACTTTTAAGAAGTATAATAATAATATGTAGGTTAGTTCAATAAACAAAATTATATACTAATATGTAATAGTACGGATTCTACGGTAAACGAACAAATTCATTTAACATTATTTCAACTTCTTGTAAAATTAATTGCATCATTATAATGTAAGTTGCTCTGCAAGTTCTCGTTTGAAATAGGTAGTATAACAAATCAACTTACTCAGGAATTTGTTTCTTTTAACACTTGGTTAAATCTTTAAACGTTTAAAACTGTCAGAAATGGAGCTATAAGCCAAATGACTTGCTGAATTTATTTTATTTTTTTATAATGTAAGATTTGACAGCTATGATTTGGGTAAGAGGGTTTAATATTCAATAAACTGTGGAGTCTTAGAGTAAAGACCGAAACCTTGTCTCCACTGCATTGCAGGCAGATGTCACCTTATTGCTAGATGTCTACTGGTTCAAAAACATCTTTAGAAGTTGTTATGAGCTGACACTTTGAAACATTTAGTATAGAGACTGAAACACCACCAACAACAATACACCAGAAAGATGCAGTCCATTGAAACATTTAGCATAGACTGAAGCACCTCCACCAACAATACACTAGAAAGATGCAGTCCATTGAAACATTTAGCAGAGGGACTGAAACACCGCCACCAACAATACACCAGAAAGATGCAGTCCATTGAAACATTTAGCAGAGGGACTGAAACACCACCACCAACAATACATCAGAAAGATGCAGTCCACTGAAACATTTAGCATAGACTGAAGCACCACCACCAACAATACACCAGAAAGATGCAGTCCACTGAAACATTTAGCATAGACTGAAACACCATCAACAACAATACACCAGAAATATGCAGTCCATTGAAACATTTAGCATAGGGACTGAAACACCACCCCCAACAATACACCAGAAAAATGCAGTCCACTGAAGATTCAACCTTATAGCTAACTATCTACTGGTTCAAAACCATCTTAAAAAATCGTTTAAGTGCCGTACTTCGCTGTTAAGTTAAAGACATCAAATATATTGTTGATATGAACGTGCTTTATAGTCACTAAGAGAAAAACTTATGCACTGGATAGGTGAGGGGAAGAAAAAGTGTCATTGAAAGATGCAGTCCCACAGTGACCATAAAGCACGTTCACACTAACAATATGGTTGATACCTTTCACTATGATATAGGTCCAGCTTATCTCTCTTTGGTTAACTTGTGTTCAGAGTTACTGATGAGGAGTGGAATTTTCTGAAACTGGTATAACTCAGTAACACACGTTGATCAAAGTGTAGATTGAACTGGATCTCCATTGAATTTAGACTTCGAGATTAAATAATTTTCGGAATACTAAGCTTATTTGTTAAGTTAAAGACATGCTGTGTTTTGGGGGACAGTTTGTTTTTTAAACTGTTTTACGGTGAATTCAGTGGATATGGTAGTGTTTTAAAAATAATTCTATACATCATAAAACTAACGAATAATTTCAGTAAAATTAAAGTTCATATTTATTTTTATAGTATTTTTCATGTTATTTTAATGTTTTCAACCATACTTTAAAAACGATTTTTAAAATTGATTTTTTCTACGCCACGATAAGTCTAAAATTATGTGTCGAGAACTTTTCCTAGTTGACTATGGGATATTTGTAGTCAGTATTTTGATAGCAGAGACAACTTGCCAGTAGGGGCCGTTACGTATCGATGGATGGATATGAAAAACACCACTAAATCGAACTTGAAGAAAGACTGTGTAAAGAGTTTCCTATTTGTATAATCATTTCTATATCTTCCTTAAACACAGTGTTATACCTTCCTTAAACATGGTGTTATACCTTCCATAAACATGGTGTTATACCTTCCTTAAACACGGTGTTATACCTTCCTTAAACATGGTGCTATACCTTCCTTAAAGATGGTGTTATATCATCCTTAAACATGGTGCTATACCTTCCTTAAAGATGGTGTTATACCTTCCATAAACATGGTGTTATACCTTCCGTAAACACGGTGTTATACCTACCTTAAAC